AATAAATCATCCAAATTAGTTAAGTGGATTTATTTGGATTGCTAAGTCAAAGTTAAATATTAAATTATGTTTTTATTTAACAAAAATCAAGTACACATTTTTACTGGTTTTGGAATACAGATCTCCCCCCAAAATAACATCTTCAATGAATAATCTGATATCTACCATAAATCTAACCCTGAGTAGAAACTTCCATACAAACTTTTAAATAAGTTTAAGCTATGAATGTTTTAATTATATTCAAACATCTAGGACATTCAAATGATGTAGGAGATTCACATGGTCTAAGAGATTCAAAGTTTTGAAGTCAGTTCTCCCAATTTGACTTGGAGACTAACAGATCTCTCAATAGAAATATATACATAATACATAGAATACATTGTATAATAAAATATAATATATTTATATATGCTTACAAATACATGTATTTATATAGAAACATATAATAAATATATATTTCATATATATATAGATAGAGAGAGAGAGAGGGAGAGGAGAGAAATAAGCTTTTATGTGTTTGACAAAGCAAAAGAGCACATATAGACTGGTGTCAACCAAAGTGGCTCACTGAACAACAGGTTGAGGGGTTTAAATAGGTGGAGAAATGCGGGTACGGGTCTCCTATATGGAGGAGACCTTTGAGCTTATTGGATGAAGCAGATGTAGTGGTTTTAGGGCATTTCTGTGACAGGAGGAGTGGTTGTAGGGTGGGTTTGTGCAGGCTCTTAGGAATTTTTTTTAACGTTAAAATGGTGGTGAAGAGAACAAAATGAAGAAATTCTCCCCCACTTCTTCATCTGAAGGATCAATTGGTCTGAATCAGGCATGAACAAGATAAGTATCTGGCTGAAATTGCTTGGGCCCCAGAATCTTGTAATTTCTCTGGAATTTCTAATAAGGAAAAACCTTAGACTGTTAGACGTTTCTGTTGATTTCTCCCAGTTTTGCTATTGCATCTCTTAGGGTGCTTGGGGACATTTCAGAAGCACACTTTTCCCCTGCTGTTCTTGCCATGTGGTTGAAGGTCTTTCCTTCTCCTTAGTGGAGCCCAAGCACTCAAGCGGTCAGGCCCCAACCTAGAACTTCATGGGGCACTTCCTGCTTCGTACTACGTGCCCAAAGACATCACATTCTTTACACTTCACCTGAAATATATTTTTCATCAGATTACTAATAAATGGCTACTGGGAACACTGTGGAGCAGCTTCCAGGATGTGTGTTGTTTCAATATCAAGTGATTGTGCTCTATCTATAGTATAAGCATTAAACCTGGCCATAAGTAATTAATCCAATAAAATTAATCCATTCTCCCTCAATCTAATCAGTGCACAACATTCCACCATACATAGTGATGGCCTCACACAAACCCAATCAATCAGATCTAATCACAATCAAGTTCATCTGATCACATTTGCTTGACTTAATTGCTCTAATACAATTGTGACCATCTCATTTATTTAATCAATGTGTTAAGTTCTCAAGTTTAATATTTGCAATTTATAGTTAACAACCTACAATCTGCTGATGACACAACCTTTTCTGATGAAAGAAAGCTGAGAGTCCTTGAAGTGTTTACTGACGAAGATCTGAGACTACCACCCTCAGACTCGATTAAAACTCAGTATAAAGGAAACAAAAGCTACCAACAGGACTGTAGACAACAGAAAGATAAACAAAGATAAACAAGTATTCACAAGGAAGGGGACTTCCTTTAAAAGGCAAGGGAATTGTAGGAGCCTGATCAGGCAGAGGAAACAGCGAGGAAGCTGAGGTTGCCTCCTGGAGCGGCTGCCATTTGGAACTCGAATGCAGGAGCTTAATAGAAACGTTAACAAGTATAATGGAGCTAACTGAAGATACTAGTGAGGTTCCAAACGGAGTCGTGCATGTTTACTCCCCTGTCAGCAAATCAGTCCCCCTCTAAGGTCCTTGTAAATTTTTAGCCTTCCCAGGAGCTGTAAATTCAAGTAAATCAAATGACGCTCCTAGATTGCTTTTGAACTATTATAATTTTATTTACTTCTGAGCTCAAAGTTATCTCTCTTCTGGAGATACCAACATTCCTGGGAAAGGCATCCAATGGGATTTGTGGATTATATTCACATTTATAAAAGAAGTCTTTTATGGATGTGGTCAGTTCAGGGTGAATCTTCTGACAGGAGAGGAATATCATCATTTCTTCTTACTTGGATTTCAAAATAATTTAAATGAATGCTGAAGGTCATACCTATAAATATAAGCA